TCTATGATTGAATGATTTTCAATGCCCCTACTCTTAATATTTATAGGGATGGAGAAAAATTATAACGATCTAATAATTAAAATTTAAGAAAGAACATTAAAAATTAAAACATTTTTAATAAATTAATACATAAAAAATTGATTAGAAATTTTTAAATAATTTCACTAGAAAACTTTACATTTTATCATTAAAAAGAAAAAGTGAAAGCGAAACCACAAATTTAATACTAGCTACAAGCCAAGGCTGACTGTGCATGATGAGTCATAGTCAATTTCTTAATATGAAAAATCAGATAGATACATGACATCATTTATTTTGTTTTGATTTTTAATTTAGGTTTTGCAGAAAATTATTACCTTTCGAGATCCAGGACCTCCATTGTAATAGTTGATTTTGTGAGTTTTAATTATAGATTTATTTATTTAATAGTTATGATAGATGTTTTGATGTCAAGACGACTTAATTTTTATATTTTTTTTATTAATTTTAATTGTTTGAAATTACTATTTTATAATAAGGGATCATGGGGCTATGCAGCTATTTTGAAAATTTTAAGTTCTTGGGGCATTAGGTTCGATTTGTTTAGTTAATGCCTTTTTATTTTTTATATTTGTAATGGCAGAAACATAAAAATTAAAATGTTTTAACATTTAAAATATTGTATTTATTTTCATATAAATTTATTTAAATATTTATAGTAATTTTGTATAAATTAATTCATTAGAAATCAAGTCTTATTATTATTATTTTTAATGTTTTACTATTAAATATTTCAAAATAGTTATGAAGACATAACTCCCCCAGTTAGTGCTCTCAATAATATTTGGTCTAGAATGTTTATAATCTCTGTAGTCTGTTCTATTGCTAACAAAAGTTTGGAAGAATTAAAATCCAATTAAATTAAAAATTTTTATTGGGAATAAGCAGCTAAATTATATACATATATATATATAAAAGCTTTTAACACTTCACAGCCTTTACATTTAATTAAAGATTTTCAATTTAAATTTTGAGTTAAATAAAAAAAATTAAGAAAACAAATGAATTATTTTTTATTATATGATGAATCTTTTATTTTATATTTTAAGAGAACAAATTAAAAAATAATTAATACATTTTTATTATTAAATTAGATAAAAAATAAATTTTAATTTTAATTTTAATAATAAATTGATAAAATGAAAACATATGATATTAATATAAAAATTAATATTAATTTTTTATTTTTTATAAAAATTATTAATTAAAAATATATTAATTATATTTTTAACTTATACATTAAACAGTAAAAATAAAAAAATCTTTATATAATTCGTAGAAAAAGAAGAAACCCCTTTCGCATTCAGCGCCCAATTTTTTATTTCTGTCTCTGTATAAACCCATCTCCTCAGAACCGCAGACAGAACTCCAGCAAGCTAGAGCAAAAATGAAGGACTCAATTGTTCTTTACTTATCACTTCCTCTCATTCTCCTCCTTCTTGCTTTGAAATTCTTCATGCAATCAAAAAAATCCCACCAAAATCTACCCCCACGCCCACCTTCTCTTCCAATCCTCGGCCACCTCCATGTCCTGAAGCCACCCTTCCACCGTAAACTCTACGCCCTCTCGCAAAAATATGGCCCAATCATGTCCCTCCGATTTGGCTCCCGCCCTGTTGTCGTCGTATCCTCTTTCTCCCTAGCCGAAGAATGCTTTACAAAAAACGATATCGTTTTCGCCAATCGCCCCAAGTTACTGATGTCCAAGCACTTGAGCTACAACAGCACCACCGTCGTAGCCGCACCTTACGGCGATCACTGGCGCAATCTCCGCCGTATCGCCGCCATCGAGATCTTCTCGTCGCATCGACTCAACACGTTCCTATCCATTCGGAAAGATGAGATCAGGCGATTACTTCACAAACTGAGCCGCGATTCCCGTCAAGATTTCGCCACGGTCGAGCTGAAATCCATGTTTGCGGACTTAAATTTCAACATTTCGATGAGAATGGTGGCGGGGAAGCGGTATTACGGCGACGGAGTGGTTGACGAAGACGAGGCGCGGAGGTTCAGGGAGCTGATTAGTGAGATCGGCGCGTACGGTGGAGCAACGAATCCGGGAGATTTCTTGCCGATTCTGAACTGGATCGATGGCGGCCAGTTTGAGAAGAGAGTCAAGAGGCTGAGCAAAAGAACGGACTCGTTTTTGCAGGGATTGATCGACGAGCGCAGAAGTAAAACGGATGCTGTAGAAAGCACGAATACAATGATTGATCATTTGCTTTCTTTGCAAGAAACTCAGCCAGAGTACTATACCGATCTGATTATCAAAGGTCTCATATTGGTTAGTAATCACGCCTCTTTCCATAAATCAAATTAACTTATTTTCTTATAACAATATTTTTTTTATATTATTTTTTTATATAATTTGATACGTTAAAAATTAATTATGTAAAATTTATAATATAAAATTTATTTATTTATTTAATAATATATAAAAAT